AGGGGACACACCACCACACCACACCACATCATACCCCGCCCCGCTACTACCTGCCCCGCCGGCAAGAGCTGCGACCCGAGCCCTTCCGCCACAGAGCCCTAGACTCCGCCCTCCCGCTGCCGGCGCGTTCTCATTGGCTCACCGAGCGCAAGACCCGGCCCCCACGCTCCCTGCCATTGGCTTTCGCAGCGGAATGCCTGAGGCCTGGTCTTTGAGACGCGCTCTACGCAAACCGCCCCGGGGCCGCGATGGCTCCTGGGTAAACCCGGGGGGCGGGAGATGAGGGAGGGCTTGTCCGCGTCCCCTGTGCGCAAGCGCGAAGGGGAGGGAGACTTGTGTCTCTGGGCAGAACTACACTTCCCAGAATGCCCCGCGGGGGGTGATGGGAGCCTGGCCCGCTCTGCTGGCTGTGGTTGTAGCGTGGGGAGGGAAGGGGCGGGACCAGGGAGTTGTGTTGGAAGCAGGGTAGAGGGCGGCGGTGGGCAGCCCGGACGCAGGCTGGGGGGAGGGCTCTGGGAGTCCTGACACGGGCCTGTATGCAGCGGGGGCTGCGCTGAGGCGGTAAAGGATCGCGGGACTGTGTGAGGCCTTCGGCTTGTGGTGCCACGTGGGGATCCAGACTCCGTGCCGTGCCGTGCCAGCCTGACGCAGGGTGGGAAGAAGCAGCCAGCCCTGTTCATAGGCTCGTAGGAGCATAGGGCTTGGTCAAGACCAGTTATCCTGGTTTTCTCTGATTTAAAAAAATCCCCAATTTTCGGATTAAAAAAAGTAACCCAAAATCCATATTTTTCCATAATTAAAATGAAATGCCACATATATATATATATATGGTGGTGTTTCATTTTAATCATGGAAAAATATGGATTTTCAATTACTTTTTTAAATCTGAAAATTGGGGGTTAGGGTATTAACCAGGGGTGGCCAACAGGCTCCATTTCACAGCAGTCCCTGCATGTGTCACTGTGGCTGGCTTACATGGAGACCCCAGCCACAGCGCTGTGACAGCACAGGGCCAGGGTTTCCATGGAGCCCAGCCCCAGCAGTGTTGGCAGGGCGCGCAGCTGGGCCAGGATCTTGTGGCAGTGACAGCATGGGCAGAGCTGCCACCTGCTGCCCACAGGCCTCAGGCACGGGTGTGCAGGCAGCAGATTACAGCTCTGTCACGGCTCCAGACCATGGTATCACCACTACAAGATGATGACTCTAGGGCCAGGCTCTAGGCCTGGCCCCAGAGCAGCTCCCTGCCCAGCAGCATGCCCTGCCAGTGCTGCTGGGGCCGGTCTCCATGCAAACCCCACACCCAGCTGTCAGGGTGCTGCTGCTACTGGGGTCTCCATGGAAACCAGCCATGGGGCAGGCGCTGCTGCAAAATGGTCCAGCTGCCAGCCAGATCTGCCATTTTGCCCACCACTGGTATAAACTGACCAATAAGGTCAAGTGGCAGCAGTGTGTTTCAGATAGCTGTGGTCCAGCTGTGTCAGAAAAGTCACATTGCTAAGCTGGTAAGTAGTGTGCGTAGCTGCCATGGTTAATATTTCAGTCCCCGCCAGGGTTAAAAACATTGTATGAACCGAGATCAAGCCTAACATTTCTGTTGTGGTGGCCATGTTGGACTGCAGGATGGCTACCACAATTTTACAGTTTTGTTCATTATTAGATACCCAAAAGGTTTGCAAAATTGCTACATCAACTCTGTTCTGCTTCAGATTACCTCAACATGGAAACTCCCTATGGAGACTGTCGACAGCAGATTCAACCTTATAGCCCTTAAGCAAACATCGCTGAGTACAACCTGGAATTTACAAGATGCATCGTATGTCTTAAAGTAGGTTCGTGGTGTACCATTAGCCAACATACACATGCTGGAATTACACAAGTAAAGGAGGCACTCATTCAACGTAGGACAATTGCTGAATTTGACACTTTTATGGCAGTATTCTTGATAGGCTAAACCATCCCAGTCGAGTGTCTGTCCAACGTGCCCTTAAAAATTTCCAAGTGTAGCAAGAAACCTTGCCTGCCCTCCCCACTCCCAAATGTGAAGCTCCTCCATATGGCAAAAGCCCCTTTTGCAGTATTTGCCCCCTTTTGGGGATGCTTTCTCTTTTCTACCTTTTCTTCCTTCCTCTCTTTCTTTTGTTATATTATTTTTATATAATGTGTACTTACAGTAAAAATAGAACTTGTATATGCTTTTACAAATGTACTTTAAGTTTAAAAGTAAGTTGTACCATGTAACAATGTTAGCAAGGGCAGGATGGAGGTGGTCCCTAAATGAATCATGGTTGATTGTGTAACACAGTAGCTAGTCTGGATAAACAAGTTAATGAGCAGCAATTAACACCTACAAAACTACAGACCAAGAAGAGGAAAGAATCAATACAGAGCCAGGAACTCCCTGAAACTTCACTGTTAAAGGTGGGAAGACCGGCTTTGAACTAATCAATGCTGGAAACAGACCCTTGGGGCTGAAATACCCCCTGGTCAACCACTTCCAGAGTTCTGTTCATCACGGTAGTGAATCAATCAAAATTCATCAACAGACTCCTGAGACTGCACGTACGTGCGGACATGACCCCTGGGGCTGACGGCTGCCATCCAGCAGCTACCAAGTGGTACGTCCCTCGAGGTCAACAACACCTGGATTGGGTAAGCCTGAGAACTGGGGAGTCACCAAAGTCTGCCCGAGAGAGATAAAAGGCTGCAGCAAAGAATGACCCCCCCAATGGCGCCCTCTTTGACCTGACCAGCACCCTGCCTGTCCAGCCAGAAGGACCAGCCGGCGACCCCCTTCTGAAGCAATAATGCATTGAAAGAAGCCTCAACTGGCCATCGACAATGGACTCCAGTGCTTGGGGATAGGTATATATTGACACTGGTGCTTAGTGTTCATAGCTAGCTACTGTGAATGTGTGCATGTGCGTGAATGTGTGTGTGTTTGAGGGGATCAGCACCAAGGTTTATGGTCTGACTTTTGCATCCATCCAATAAACTAGAATTTTATGATGATCCTGTGAGTTGGTGCTTTGTAGCCAACACAGGGACAGAGATTCTACAGTTTCTCTAGGTGCCTGTTCATACAATCAGCAACATTCTGTCTGGTTAATGTTCTCCCTGCTATGGGCCATGAAGTTCTCCGAGCTAGTTGAAGTCTGGTTGATGGCAGGGGAGAGCTTAGCCATCTAAACCAGGGGGGGTCACTGGGTTCAAAGCCTTGACTAGACTCAAAGTGTCCCCGCTGCTGTTGGTGAGCTCTCCATTCAAGGATGCTCTCTGCCACAGCTTGTGGACAGGTCTTGAGGTGACTTAAGAGCTCAATCCTTGAGCCAAAGAGCTGTCTGCAGAAGCGGCAGGTCCCACGGGGGAGAGCAGGTGGGGATGCCTCTCTTTTTCCATCCTCTACTCTCTCTTCTCTACTTGCAGGATGAGGCACTTTTCCTCAAAACAGGCTTCTGCTTTGTTGAGGTTGTGGCACTGTTGGAGTTGGTCAGCAGCCAACAACTCCCAACTCTTGATGTTGGTGTCTGTTCTTTTGAGGTGTGCCTTCAATGGATCCTTGTAGCGGTTCCTCTGACCACTGCGAGATCTCAGGCCTTTACTAGGCTGGGAGCAGAGCACTTATTTGGGGAGTCAAGAGTCAGGTATCTGCACACAATGTCCAGTCCACTAAAGTTGGTGCCTCCACCCACTTCATAACTTCTGTAAAGAGTGGCACCCTATTTCAACACCTAATATGTATATATTACAGTGTTTAGTTCCTTGCAGAGGGGTTGGGCGGTGGGGGTAGAGGATCATTCAGGCAGGACAAGCCTGAGCTTGGATTTAGCAACTTATCTCCTTACACTTCACGGTACCCTTCAAAGGATCTGGTGGCACCCCAGAGTGCCCTTGCACCCTGGTTGAGAACCTCTGTTATAGACGGAGTCTATATATACACAGTCAGTACATCTATATCTATAGCACAAGCTTGCATGGGTCGCAGGTCACTTCATCAGGTGCTGTAATACATAGGTTAACAACTAATAACTGAGAGGTCTCGAGTGTAATCTTATGGACTCACAATGATCAATTGCATTTCTAGGGTTTGGTTTTGACCCTAGACATTTTCAAACCATGGAAGAAAAGTATGCATGTTTGTGCTGATTGAACACAATAACTGGGGAATGGTAAATTAGAACTAAGAACAATTGTCAATTAGAACAATTGACAATGATATTGAACTTGATCCTGCCTTGAGCAGGAGACTGCTCTAGATAACCTCATGAGGTCTCTTCCAGCCCTACTTTCCTATGATTCTATGATCTAAATTGCTTGGTATGCTGGCAGAAGCACATAATATGCATTTCAAGTCAGCCAAATGTAAAACATATGTTTAGGTACAAAAACTACAGGAAGACAAGGGATTCTACCCAGGTAGTCAGTGACTCTGAAAAGGATTTATGGATTATAGTAGATAATCAGCTGAGCATGAATTCTCAGTGGGATTTTTTTGACCAAAGGGGCTTATGTGCTCCTTGGGTATGTAAATAGTAATATATCAAAGAGGACTAGGGCAGTTTTATTACTTCTCTTTCTAGCAGTGGTGTGACCTCTCTTGGAATACTGTATCCCATGCTGGAAACTATAATTTGAAAAGGATATGGACTGGTTGAAGCAAGGCTCTCAAAAGAGCCACAAAAGTAATGAGAGGATTAGAAAGCATGCCTTATAGTGAGAGGCAAAAGGAGCTCTGTATGTTTATCTTTAAAACAGAACAAATTACAAACAGGTGATTTGATCCTTTTTTAAGAATATGTATGAGGTAGGCCTTATACAGACCCAGATGCCAACTGTGCCTGCTTATTAACACTGACCACATCATCACTGGACCAAGCTAAACAGATTATAAGATCTGGGATTCATTCAACTCTCCTCTGTCAATGTCATGTATGCCATCACTTACTTACAGTGTCCCTCTGCTGTTTGCATTGGACAGACAAAGTGATCCCTACCTGAAGGAATGAATGAGCACTGATTTGACATCAGTTCTAGAAAGACACAAACGCCTGTGGTGGAACACTTTAACCTCCCTGGACACTTCATCATTGACCTCAGAGTGGCTGTTCTTAAACAACA